TCTTTTATCATTCGACCCCCCCCATAAAAATGTTGCCATTATAGAGTTTAATTTTTGCAGCACCGCTAATGGAATTCGAAATAAAGATAGGAAATAAGTGGGAAGAGAGCACAAAACAGATTTGATCAACACACCCTCCCTGCTAATGCTAGAGAATTTACCTTCCAGCCCGACAGCCTATTATAAAAATTCTGCACTATTGGCTCCCACATTGCAACAGAATTTCTCCTAGTCCCCAGAGGCAAGCCTAAATACTCTGCTGGAAATTTACCCACTGAGCAACCAATTTCCTTAGACCAGTCAACAATCACATCCTCCTCAATATTGATTCCGTAAATTTTGCTCTTGACTAGATTAATCTTCAACCCCACCAATATCTCGTAAATCAAAAGCACCCTTCTAACATTCTTCAGATCCCGAATTGAAGCCTTTGAAAAAATAATAAGATCATCCGCAAATTGTAAGTGCGATAGCTTGAATATACGATCATTGGCTCCCAACTCAAAACCCGAAAACAGTCCCAAGTCCACTGCTTTAGTTAACATCAAATGAAGCAATTCACCACCCAAATTAAACAACAAGGGTGATAACGAACATCCCTGTCTAAGACCTCTTTTTGTATGAATTTTCTCAGTAGGAGTCCCATTCAGTAAGACAGAAACTGAAGCAGTCGACATACACTGAAACATCCAAGAACGCCATTTTTCGCCAAACCCCATTTTACCCAAAATTTTCAACAAAATTCCCCAATCAACTGAATCGTATGCTCTCTGAAAATCCACCTTAAAAACCACCCCCTTCAACCCTTTCTTCCTCCAAAAGTCGATTCCTTCATTCGCTATGAAGGAGCAGTCCAGAATGCTCCTCCCTCGGATAAAAGCAAATTGGGACGGACTAATAATGTCATTAATGCATAAACTGAACCTCCTAGCCAGGACCTTTGACAAAATTTTGTATAGCCCTCCCACAAGGCTAATAGGCCTAAAATCCCCCATCCCCTCCGGGTTAATCTTCTTAGGAATAAGAGAAATATAAGAATGATTCACCTCTAGATCCCACTCCTTCCCCTCGAAAAAATCCTTAAAAAACAGCATAATATCCTCTTTCAAACTAGACCAGAATTTCTTGAAAAAGCCTAAATTCAAGCCATCCGGGCCAGGAGCTTTGTTACTATCCGAATCAGCAATTGCTCTCCAAACTTCTTCTTCCGAAAATGGCTTTTCAAGTGCTAACCTCTGCTCTTCCGATAATCTTCGAAATTCCAGATTTATATCCTCAGCCTCCAACGAATTTTCCTGAGAAAACAGACCATTGAAAAACTCGACTACAGAATTTCTAATTGAGATAGGATCTTCTATGACTTCATTCCCCACCAAAAGTGACTTAATACCATTGTTTCTCCCTCTAACTGAAGCAGTTTGGTGGAAGAATTTTGTGTTCTTATCACCCTCCAATCGCCATTTCAGTCTCGATTTTTGCAACCAAATCGATTCCTCTTTCTTTTGAAGGTCCCATAACTCCCTCTTTGCTTCAATTATTGACCTCATTGTCACCGTGGGAAGGCCTTGTTGCATATCCAACTCCATTTCATGAATTCTTCCCTCCAACTTTTTAATTTTTCCAGGCAATTCGAAATAACCCCTCCCAGACCATCTCATTATCACGCCCTTCACCCTCCTAAACACCATAGACATGGACTTCCCCTTTTCCTCTTTGCAAATAATATCCAGCTCCTTACCCATCATCTCGGTAAAACCCTCCTCCTCCATAACATAGTTAAACAACCTAAACGGCTTCCGGCCCCAATTGCAATCCTTGTTCTCCAGCATCACAATATTATGATCAGAAACTGACCTTGCCTGTAGTGACTGACTTAGCTTCGGGAACAAGCTGACTAATCTCTGATCCACCAAAAAACGATCCAACCTCTCAAACGTAGGAAGTTCCCTGTTATTACACCAAGTAAACCGACCACCCGACAAAGGCAAATCTAGCAGATTAGCCTTACTCACAAAGTCCCTGAAAATATTCATGGTCACCGAATTCACAACTCCTCCTTCTTTCTCCTCCTGTGACAAAACTACATTGAAATCTCCTCCTATGCAAACTGGACATTCCACATTACCCAAAAAGGATAATAGTTCCCTGAAAAATGCCTCTTTCTCTGCGTCCAAACTAGGGCCATACACATTAATGAAACAGTAACTTCCTGGTAGTCCCACCATTGTTCCTTTTAAAGCTATAAATCTGCTAAACAGGGCTACCTCTTCCATCACAAATTCCTTCTGATTCCACAATGTTATTAATCCACCAGCAGAACCTATGGAAGGGGCTACAGCCGATCCAGTAAGTAATTTCCCCCCCATTTTCCTCACTAACACATGACTGACAACCTCCAATTTGGACTCTTGCAAGAATAGAATTGTAGGTTTTTTAACATCCACAAACCTCCTAATAGCTCGAGCTTTCACTCTCCTACCCAAACCCCTTACATTCCAAGACATCATCGACCACTCAACCATCCATAGTATATCATAACCTTGCAACTCAGCTACAACTACTGACTCTCCTTCGAATTACTTTCCTTCACCAACGGAACCATCTTAGCCATCTTAGCCATAAAAGCTTCCTCTCCTCCTTTAAATTTCACCCCCAACAATTTGGACACATTCCAACACTCCAATGCCTCTGCCACCCCCTCATTCTCCTTCTCTGCAAAGGAAGCTAAGTCCTTGCCATTGCAACTCTTAACTTCCCACCTCCTAGAATAGACATTCTTATAAAAACCTCTTTCAATATTACTTACCGACGCACTTCTCCCAGAATGCCGACGCCTCACCGGTGACATAATCTGATTCTGCAAATTTACCGCAGATTGCTCACCAATTGCCATTTCTGCAGATTGGATACGAACAGTATTCGACCTTAATAACCCTTGAACAGGCCCATTCGTTTGACTTCTGACCAAGCTGGTATTAAGCCCATTATCTTGTACACCCTTATCCTGGCCCAAGTTGACTTCTTCCACAGATCTTTTATTTTCTCTTTCTTCATTAAAATCCTCTGACAATCTCTGTTGACTGGTCCCATCACCTACTGCTGTTACCTCCGCAGAACAAAAGTCATTAGCCAACAAATGTTTAGTCCCTTCAATTAAATTCAAATTTCCATCGATAACCGTATCAACCCCTTTTTCATCTCCCCGTACCCATGCTTCAACCCTGTCCTGAGAGTCTGACACAGACTGATCTCCCCACTGCTCATCCTTTCCCTGCTGGACATCCTTCTGGCTCCAGACCGGCGAAATCCCCTCACGAGAAGCCACTGTTCCGTCATCTTCAGCCATATCCTCTAACTCCGGAAAAAACTCATCACTACCTTCCACCTTAATCTTAATCATGAATGACCTTCCATACGTATTTATAATGACATGGGGAGGAATATCAAAGGGACTTTCAACCCTCAATAACATATAAGCTACTCTACAATCCACTCTGTTAGCAGTTTGTTCCTGTATCTTAACTAGCTTGCCCCATCTCGACGCCAAGCTTGTGAAGAAAGGAACTGACCAACAATTCAGAGGAACTCCAATCAAAGAAACTGCACAATAAGGCAATGGCACCCCCTCTTCTTCCATAACTTGCTCCAACCTCTCGAACCAGAAGGACAAGATCTCCCATTTGTTTTCCATCGTTGCGACTTTCTCCTCAACAGTCTGGAAAACTACCAGACAAGCTTTTTTTGCATAACCCCATTGAATCACTTTTACATTGATTCCTTCAGTCCTTAGCGCCCTTTGCACAAACTCAACTTCGAATAGTGGCTTACAAATACCAGTTAACGACGATCTCAGCCATGATCTATCCTCCATTGGAATAAAGACTTCCAACTTCTTCTTCACCTCTTTCTTAGCTCCAAAACTCCCCGCTTTCTGGCCCTCAACTTCTTTTGCACCCACAACCATCTCCTTATATGACCTTCCATTGCGAAACTTATTCATCATCTCCATCTTTCCAGAACCTGCCACTTGAGATGATGGTAGTTCCCTGAGCATCCCATCTACACCAGCATCTGTAGACCTCGGCCCACTAGTATGTTTGAGGCTCCTCGGTATACTTTTCTTCTGATATTTGGCAATCGACACCAATATTCTCCTCCCATCGACCGATGCGTTGTTCATCTTTTCAATTGCTAGATGCATATCATCTTTGCAAGCAAAATGCACAAAGGCAAACGTACTATCCTTGTAATAAGGTCTCCTATTAACAAATGGAATGAACACCTTAATCACCTTACCATAATGACTAAAACGCTCCCATAATACATTTCTATGCACTCGCCTACTTAGATTATCCACGAATACAACCCACGATATTGCTCCAGGCGGAGACATACTACTGCCCGGACGAACAAGACCCTTCGAACTCTCTCTCGCTCTCTCTCACCGTGTTCGAGAATTTGGCATTTGAGAGTTGCAGGGTTTTCCAAATTAGGGTTTTAACTTTGCTCAAGTATTTATCAGTTGCCAATTCCGAAATCCCGTCATCCTCCTTCAATTCGATCACCTAGAGACCGTTCTTCACCGGAACGTGAGACGATTCAAGGTAAGACTGGAGGAGGAGTTGGCAACCCGTTGAGTCGGAAATAGAAACTAAACGCGTTAAACGTCGATGAGAAGATGCACTCGATCTTCCGATAAACACTGCCCTATTTTCACTGAGTAATGAGCCAATTAGAGGAAAACAACCCAGCTCGAACTAGAGGGAGGAAAAATATTGAAAAACATGATGGTTTTGGGATTTAATCAATCACTGCCTCATGTTACCTTGTTTCAATATCTAGACTAAAACATATCTAAAGGTGCATGAATAATAGCTAAATGATCAGAATAAAGGCTGGTTGAAATGGATAGGGCAATAGGAGTTAAACAAGACAAGTATTGTGGTTCTATCCTTCTGTTCAAATAAATGTATAGAAGCTAGCTTCTTTAGACAAAAAACCTTTAATCTTCTTTCAGAATTAAGATTGTCCATAGCATACTCGAACATAGTATGAAAATTCCTTTGTTGCCCAAATTTCAGCTATTCTATTCTCGAGAATCTAAAAATAGTCTCTAAATTGTAAGTCCAATAGTCACGGACTTAATAATTTTCTTCTCATTAAGGTTGAACGTACCATTCATTTAACTAATTAATTTTTTACCTCTGCTGCATTTCTAAGCATGGTAGGAAACCTCTTTCCGCTGCACTTCCAAAGCAACCTTATATAATTACATTTTCTTTCTTAAAAGAATAGTTCCATGTTAAAAAAATATCTCATTGTTGGCTCTGGGATGAAATACTTCATTTAACATCCTTCAACAATGATAAAGGCACCTGGTCTGAATTTTCCTGTATATTTGTTCAAGCCATATATTTTCTTGCATTTTTACTAGGATTATTAGATTTCAATTGCATTTTCTTCTTCCATTAATTCACTCCGTTGTTTAGCATGCCAATCTACAACTCACTTGAAACCTTTTTCTTGCAATCTTCTAAACTGAAAGGTAATTACTAGATGAATTATTTTAATTATGACTTCTGTAAGTTATTTTTCTGGTAATTTTGCAGGTTACAGATGCTCCTGAGATTCATTCCAATGGGTTTCATGTCAAGTTCGATGTAAGTGATGGTCAGATAGGTTTTGTTTTGCCAACTCTGGTACCTCCTTGTAATGTTGACTCTTTTAAAATGCTGTTGGGTGGAGATACTAGTCACCTGGATAATAAGTATTGGAACACTTGCATTATACTTCCTTTTAGGTCTGTTACATCTGACGGAAATGATAGGAACAATATTGTCTCCATGTTTTCAGATCTTCATCCTTCTTTATTACTCTTTCTCCACAGGATTCAGTGTATTGTGTTTCGGAACATGCTCAATAATTCATTTGTTGTTATGAGAAAAGAAATTGTGGGAAATGGTATTGTGAAGGTTTCATGCGGGGTAGAAAACATGACATGGTTTGTAGCATCCCAAAAATTGCAGGCTGATATTATTCACCGTGATGTGCAATTAACAGAAATTTCAATAGCACTAACTCTGCAGGAGACTGATTGTGGGTGTTACAGACCATTACTGGACCCACAACCTGTTTTTGCTTTTCTTCCTTTAAGGACATATGGCCTGAAATTTATTCTTCAAGGTGATTTTGTTCTTCCTTCATCTAGAGAAGAAGTTGATGTAGATAGTCCCTGGAATCAGTGGTTACTGTCACAGTATCCCTGTTTGTTTGTTTCTGCACTGAGATTGTTTTGTTCTCTCCCTTGTTTCCGGGAAAATCCGGGAAAAGCTGTTTCAGTTTATATGAGCTTTGTTCCACTTGTTGGGGAAGTGCATGGATTTTTCTCCTCACTTCCTCGGATGATCATCTCTAAGTTACGAATGTCAAACTGCTTAATTTTTGAAGGAGACAAAAGTAAATGGGTACCCTCTTGCAAAGTTCTAAGAGGCTGGACTGAATCGGCTCGTAAACTTTTTCCTGATTCCTTGCTACATGAACACCTTGGTCTTGGTTATTTGGACAAGGACATAATTCTATCTGATGCATTGGCAAGGGCATTAGGTATCCAGGACTATGGTCCTGAAGTTCTGGTCCAAATTATATCTTCTTTGTGTCAAAGAGAAAATGACCTTAAGCATATGGGCCTAGCTTGGATATCCTCTTGGCTGAATGAGTTTTATACAATCTCATTCCACTCTTCTGGACAGGTGTCAATGAATTGTGAAATAGAAACTTCTCTTGTAGAAAATCTTAGAAAAATTCCATTTATTCCTCTTTCTGATGGTACCTTTAGTTCTGTTGATGAAGGGACAATTTGGCTACATTCTGATGCCATAAACACTGGTTTTGAAGGCGAGCTTGGACTTGAAGCTTTTCCTACATTGTATGCTAAACTTCGGTTTGTCAGTTCCGCCCTTTTTTCTGAATCAGCTGTCAGTATCTCATACGTAGGAAACATTACTAGTGTGCTTCATAATATTGGTGTCCAACAGCTCTCTGCACATGAAATCATAAAGGTACATATTTTGCCAGATATATATGATGAAAGAATCAAAACTAGAGACAAAAATTTGATGATAGATTACCTCTGCTTTGTGATGATTCACTTACAATCTAGCTGTCCCAGTTATCGTGTTGAGAGGGAGCACATAATCTCAGATTTGCGAAATAAAGCTTTTATATTAACAAATTACGGCTTTAAAAGACCTATTGACGTGTCGGTTCATTTCAGCAAGGAATTCGAGAACCCTGTGAACATAAATAGGTTCACTAATGGTATGGATCTGAAATGGCATGAGGTTGACAAGACATATTTGAAGCATCCAGCTTCCAGATTGCTCTCTTCTGGGCTGAAGAAGTGGAGAGAATTTTTCCTGGAAATTGGTGTCACTGATTTTGTGCAGGTGGTTCAACATGATAAAAGTTTTTTGGATATGTCTCATACTGTTCTTCAGAGCTTATCGTCAGATTGGGACTTCATATCTCCTGGATCAGTTGTGAAGGATTGGGAATCTTATGAGTTAGTTCAGTTGTTATCCCTATTGTCCACTAGTGGCAATCATGAAGGCTGTAAATACATGTTGGAGATTTTTGATGAATTTTGGGATGGTCATTTTAGTGATAAAACTACTGTTCACTACAGTTTTAAATCTGGTGGTGAAATAAAACCCTTCAGATCTTCATTTTTGTGCAAGATCTGTGATATCTCATGGGTGGTTTCTTGCATGGATGATGAGCTTCACTATCCTAAAGAGTTGTTCCATGACTGTGATCCAGTCCGTGCCATCCTAGGTGCATGTGCTCCATATGCCGTTCCAAAGGTTTGTTTGATACTATTTGATGTTATCATGAATTGTTTCTCTCACTGAACTGTTTTCTTATGTATAGAGAGTAAATGTGCAAAACAATGAGAATTTAAGCTGGCAGTTCAAAAATTGATATCTACCTTTTTTCCGAATTGATATTAAGGGTCTGCTTGTTTAGCTGTAATTGGTTTTCCAGAAAATGAATTACTGGAATTTGAATTACTGGAATTTGAATTACTGGAAAATGAATTACTGGAATTTGAATTCTGGAAAATGAATTACATTTCTGTAAAATGAATTACATTTCTGGAAAATGAATTACATTTCTGGAAAACATCTGGAAAACGTTTTATGATGTTATTTAAACATTTTTTCGGTATATTTTAGTGAAATAAAATTTTATAAATTATATTAATTATTTATTAAAGTAATAGTACTATATTATATTTTAAAAATATTAATTAGTATATTTTTAATATCTTTACTAAAATATTATTGAAATATATAAATAATATTATTCATTATTAAATATATAAAAAAATTTATTATATATTATTAAAATAAAAATATAATATCTTATATTATTATAATATAATTGATTATTTTATATAATATTAAAAATATAATATTATATTATTATAAATATTAATAAATATATTTTTAAATATTTTAATAATTAATATTTTGATGAAAATGATATTAAAATATTTTATTAATATTAAATTCATAAAATAAAATTATTTTGAGTATTTTTGCTTTGAAGTGAAAAGTTCGGAAAATGACTTACGGAAAATGAATCCGTAAGTCATTTTACAGAAAACACAAAGGAAATTCTGTTACTAGGAAAATGAATTACATTCTGGAAAACGAATTACGTGAAACAAACACGGGAAAACGTTTTCCGGAAAACGAATTACGTGAAACAAACTGACGCCAGACAGAATAGTGATTATCCTGTAGGCTAGCTCCGACAGACGATTCACAAGAGAAAATTCGCCCAAAAACCAGAGAAAAAAGTCTCTAGGGTTTAATAAAATATTATAAAATCAATAACTGTCTCAAAAGCAGTCCACAAGCCGGACTGTTATAGCTAAAAAAAATCGTCTTTATTCGAATTTTGCCAAAAATAGCAAAAATCGTATTTATTCGAATTTTGCCAAAAATAGCAAAATCCCGAAAATCACTCTAAATTGAAATTCGAAATAAAATAAGCAATCTCCCAAAAATCCGGTCTAAATCGGATTTAAATTGACTTCCTAATTAACAATCGAAATATTACCATAAATAGTAAAAAATAACTAAATCTAGTGATTCGGAGGGGAAAACGGCAGAATTTGAGGTTGAAAAAAAGGCCACATGGAGCGTAGCTCAATGTGGAGAGCGTGCGCGTCGAAAAGAGCTTTCCGGATTGGGGTCTTATGCGCGATTCTGACACCTGTAGCCAAAGTTATGGCCAAAAGACTGAAACATACTCAAAACGACCCCAATAAGGAACATGTCACAATCAATTCCCGCCTTTGCGCTGATCTGCCAACTCATGGTATCTCAGCGCCATCAACGTGCAATCTGACAGCTCAGCATCATCTGTCTCGGATCCCCCTGCATCAGTCGCCCGGGTTGGAAAGAACTCGTCCTCGAGTTCAGAGTAGTGTCATCAGGATCCACAAAACAATGACTCAGGTGCTTCACATTAAAGACATCAGAAGTCTTCAAGTGACTGGGAAGTCGCAACCTGTAAGCATTATCATTGATCTTCTGCACGACCTCACAAGGTCCAATCTTCCGATCCTTAAGCTTATTATACTCACCAACAGGAAAACGATCACGAGTTAATACAGCCCAAACAAAATCACCAACATCAAAAAGTACCTGACGACGATGATTGTCGACCCGAGTCTTGTACTTGGTATTGCTCTCATGAATGGTCTGTTTCACCTGCTCATGGATACCCGAAGATACTTTGCCATCTCATCTGCTTTAGGACTGAAACGTCCTATACGTGGAATAGGGGCTAAGTCCAACACCCCGGATGGGTTCTGACCATAGACAATCTCAAATGGGCTTAAACCTGTGGTTCTGTTTTTGATCTGTTGTAGGCAAATTCTGCCTGAGGCAATGCCAAATCCCACTGCTTCGGCTTCGTTCCTGCCAAACACCTTAAAAGGTTTCCCAAACTTCG